TTCTAAGGTGTTATATGCTGTGGTATAATACATAAGTGATTCCTTGTTCAGACATACTTTTCACTATTGGCCCTAAAAATTGTTTATGTCTTCTTTTGGCATTTAGTCAAGTATCAGCTGAAACTGAACCCACTGTAGCTCCTTGTGGGTGTTGGGCTGAAATGTTTCTTTGGTTGCTTTGTGCACTGGCAAGATGCACAAAGCTGTCAACAGAGGTGTCAGAGGAGAAAAAAGTTTTTTTTTTTTTTTTTTTTTTTTGAGCAAGCAAGAAAAAGAGATGGGTCGGCGAAAAGAAAGAATGTGGGTAGATGGTCAGAAAGCAGAAAGAACTAGGATAGGCACTGGCAAGTTAACTACATTGGCTACTAATATACACAAAACATGCATGAGCGTTTTTAATCTGCAGTTTATGCCAGCCTCAGGATTCTTCACAAAGTACTTCATTATAACTCTCACTTGACACATCAAATTTCAAACCAGTGTTGCATCAGTGTTGCGCTCATGTCACATTTTGACATTAACAGGGCAGCTTTGATCACCTATAATTCAAAGGATGGAGGGATCGTATCCTGCAACATCTCTCACAAAAACTTTATTAACCAGGGAAGGTACGTCCGTCTTCACAACCAACACAGCTGCTCTTCTCTTGGCCGCTGAGCATTTCCATTGGACTGACGAGATGTTAATTCCTCAGCGATACCCTTGTAGCAGCGTTTGGAGTGAGCGAGAATGAGTCATTCCCTCCTCCCTTCACAAACTTCCCCAGTATGTGACTTCCATCCTAATCCCTGACTTCAGTTTTCAAAAGTGAAGGCTTTTTGGCAGCCACCAGGCTCAAAAAGCCATCAGCTGTCACACCATCTGCATAATGATGCGGAAGCGTGCTGAAGTTCGTTGCAGTCATCTGTCATCGTCACAGCATCATCTGCCCTGTCACTTTCACCTGCGATGATATGCGAACAGAATTTTAAGTCTGTCATTTAGATACTAAAAAAATCTTGATGTAGTTTATTAATTGATTGAAGAAGAAGATGTCAAATTCAGAAGCATATCTCAGAGATTTGAAGGCTGGAAAAAACAAAACTGCTAATACAGGAGACAAAACAAAGAACAATCAAATACATCCTAACAGTGATTGATAACCGTCACTGGCACTGGAAACAGAGTTTACAATTATCAATCATTAGTAACTGTAACCTCCAGCAACGCTGCCTGTTAAAGGTCCCATATTTTACACATTTCTGGTGTTTTATTTGAAGTGTTGATCCAAAAGAAGATATATTTGTGGTTTTAAGAACCAAAAACCATCTCAGTGTAGTTTACACATCCTCTCTCAGGCTTCTCTCTGGAGCTTTAGTACCAACAGGTCGATGAGCCAATGGAAGAGAGGCTCTGAGCCATCTGATTGGCTGACTGTTTTGAGTGATCCAATGAAAATATAGCAGATTTCGGGTATTTCAGGTAAACACTCAGAGAAACCAAATCCTGAAAGGTTGGATGGTGGGTCCAGGTGGGCGGGGCTCGGGACATGGCTGATTGCGGTGACTGCTTTGTTGTGACATCACAAGGTTCCAGAAGTCCTGACGGCTGGTTTTAAGGCTCAGTGTCTGAATACAGGCTGTGTGCATTTCTCTGTGGACTGAGCACTTTGATACTTTCACAATATTATGTGGAACATAGACCTGATTTATAATCAAACACATGGAAATCTCATTTTATACAATATTGAACCTTTAAGATCAAGCTCCACTGTTTTAAATAAGGGCACTTTTTTGATAGCTGGTGTACCCTGAGTGCAATCACGTATCATAGACAGAAGATCAGAAATGAATTAGGCTTCATAGAACCAACACTGGTCAATTAGAATTACCTTGAATACCTTTGCAGAAATATTTATTGATTAGCTTTTCTTTCAGTTATCAGTTGGTGTCTGTCTGTGTGCTCATTTTATTTTGACATAAGAGCAATAGCAAGTCTTTACAAATTCTCTCGATGTTCATATTCACTTCAACTTTGTAGAAATGGGGGAAAAAAAGACCGTAACCTAAAAAATGAATGTTACTGGATACATATGAATGAGATACAGAGAATACTTCAGGGGCGAGAGATTCTCTTCCTTCACTGAATTGCTCTGTCACAAAGACAGTCGGAGGAGAGGAGTGTAACACTGACAGCATTTTTATCAGTTGGTTCTGCCAACGTTTTTGTCAGAACGAAACCTTGAATAATACGTTTTCATTAGGTTTTATCTTATTGAGACACAGGGATTTTTATATTATCTGAACCCTACAGAAAAAGTGGATGAGAGAGGCTTAACCATAGTCTGACCTGAGAATGGAGATCTATCATTGTTGATTGACTAATATTACAGCCCTGTATTAATACCAAAATCACCTCTCCTTAACTAACTGAAAGGAAGAGACACAGATCATTGAGCACTGTTTTGGGTTTCAGCCTGATGTCAGAAACGCAGTGGGAACTTCCTCTCGCTTTACACTTGTGTTGAAAGTTTGGATTAGCTTAGGGCAGACTCCATTTACCAGCAGTCAACACTTGAAAACTGTTTTGTCTTCGGGTTTCAAAATATTCTGTAAGACGCTACATGACGTGCAAAAGCTTGTTTAGAAATCAGCCGCCTCAGCGTTTTGTTGTTGATTCATTATCATTAAGTTGTTTACCAGTTGTTATCTTTAATTTATCACGATTGACATCTGCCACCGTGTTTGGCTGCTCATGTGAAACTGCAGCATTTGCTAGTAAAAATACAGTCTGTGCAAAAAAAATAAATAAAATAAAACACTGAATCAGGAGCTGTTTTCAATAAGATTCGCAGCTGCTGTGAATTTTATAACAGACTTAGCATCACAGTGAAAATGGCTGTCAGGATGAACCGCATAATGCAGATTGGTTGCTACTGCTGATGGGGGGGGGGGCGCGGGTCATTTCTGTGATACAAATTATCCTCTACATATCAGCAGGACAGTGCTTCTTGATGCAGTGTTGTAATGAGATTTCATTTCGTTATGGGCTTGTGTTTCACTTCACATCCTCGCAATTTAAGCGCAAGCGACCTCCAACCTCCGCTGTCACCATTAGCCCTCAAGTTTTTTTTCCCACCCTCAGCTCTCGATAGTTAGTGGAGGAGGCAGAATACGGAAACCCCAAGAGCAGATGGTAGTGGTGCTTGAATGTTCTTAAACTCCAATTGATGCATTCACTTCGGCTAAATTAGCAGTAGCGTACACTTGTGCCCTTAGAGATGAGGCAGCTTAAGTACTAGTGTGGTCTGTCCTCCTCCTCCTCTGTTGCATTTACTTAGTCGCAAAACACGAGAGTGAGAAAACACAAGGTGAGTCATAGCAACTCCCAGAGCTGACTTATGTAACAAACCTTACACGATATTAACCAAAAAAGCAGCCAGAACTTATGCACGGTCAGTACGCAAATGATCCACTTTCATTGCTGACTTCTTGTTATTAACATCCCTGTATTTAGCCACTGGAAAATCATTAAAAAATGAAGTCATATCAAAGCAGGTACATTGCTGTATGGGGTTAGTGAATGTAAGGACATCCCTCCCTTATTGATATTTTGCATTCACCGAAGGTCATTAATGTTAAAAAAAAAAAAGTGTTTTATCTGCATTACTTCAGTGCTGGGACTTGTGGGCCAGATACAGCTTAGATATATTGTTGTAAATATAAAGAGCATGGAATAGTGTGTTTGATTTGTAGGCTGGTGTTCAGCAGGCCTAACACGAAGCTTCTCACAGGCGTGATGTTTGAATTCATGATTTGTAAGAATGTGTTGAACACTGATTGACCTGCATGCTTTTGGTCACTGTTTCTAAACTTTTGTTTTTATAGGAAAGCTATAAATGCATAGCAACACACATATGTTGCATGTAAAAATATGTTAATTGAGGCTAACTTTGTGGAAGGTGACTCCTGTGCAGGGGATCCTCGTGGCAGCTCAGAGAGTTGGAGAGCACCTTGGTGGATGTCTTGAATACAGATGATGGAGACAAACACACAAACATACACACACAGGACATTGGAGGGTGCGGGAGATAGAGTGTCCTTTTTTCAAACCTAGTTACCCATATGCCCAAGCTGGATACCATGTTGTCTGCAGCACTCTACACTTCAAAGAATCTAATTTGCTTTTCATTGTACATATATGATTATACAGGTACATGATCTTCAGTTGCTCATGTTTAATACCTGGTATCGGCATTAGATGTGCTCCTGATGCAGCTCCTGTGATGCCTGCACTTGTATCTTTTTCTCTTTTCTCTGTTTGTCACAGTTGAAGGGCAGGTTACTTGGGCAATGTGAGACAAGTTACTTGATCTTAATTTATTTAGAAGCCTGCCACTCAGGTTCAGTTCAGACCAAACCTTGCCACTGTCACCTCCATTTTCTGTTTTCGAGCTATCCCTCTGTCCTTGTGCTCGTAACAATGGGATCACAGACACTAACGTGATTGGACGATGGGGCGGCATCTGTTCGCTGTTCTCACGCCTCTGTCGATGTCTTGGCCGTTTGCTGCCACTCTGTTTTGAGAGCTGTTGTGTTGTGGTGTTGATGTGGTGGGTGCTGGTTTGGAGTCAAGCTGCCTCGGGCAGGGTCAGGAGGGTGTTGGCCGGCGGTTTCTTCTTCTCCTGTGATGACGTCTTACTGACTGCCTGCAGAGGTTCTGTAACACTGGTCAAGCCTTATTTCATCACTACAGTTAAAAGCAGGGCGTCCATATTGACTGGGTGTAGATTATCTTACACAGGATCACCCTAAACCAGACTCCTATTGAATTATATTAAATACTTTTGATGGCATGTTTGAAGGAAGAAATCCAATCAACTCAGATATTTCTATTTATTTAGTTATTATTTAAGATTTATTTTTGAGATAACAAAGTGACCTTATATAAACTAGTCCACAGTACTTTATGTGCAGAGCCTCATCACAGATGTATTAATGATTTACTTTTTCTTCCCGCAGGATCTGTGTGTGGTATTTACGGGGCTGCAGAGGATCGGCACATAAACCCTTCTGATTACTCAGTGGAACGGTGAGTTCAGAACTGTCACATTTAAGACCTTTAGCTGGCACTCACGCACAATGTGACTTATTTTTGGGAGTATGATTGAATAAGGAAGCACAAGGACAGTACGTAAAAAAAAAAAAAAACAAACATGCTAAAGGTGTTTAAAGGCGACATTGTTGCAAAAACACCACCCATCAGCATCAGGACCACCCATTCCTGTTTGTCCCTCTTCGATCAGCAGCATCAAGTCATGTCAACAGAAAGCCATTGATAACTGTGACAAATTCAGCTTTGTACCAAAGTCAGAGTCTGCTGATGACATGACTTTTTCAACCCTGGAGTTACTCCAGTGACCGACGGACAAGCGAGGGGTAACATTACCTATCACTCATACATGAAGAGGGCTCATGTTCATTTGCGAGACAGAGTTCATAAACAGTGGTGTAACTTATACATGGGCCAGATGCCAACTCGCGTCACCTCCCGAGTGTTCAGCCTCACAATGGAGTGGAAATATGCGGTTTTTGCTCTCTGTTTCTCTCTTTGCTCTCGGAGGTCTTTCAGGAGTACAACTCATATCTCAGCTCCAGTGTGGCTATTTTTAGAATAGCTCAAATATCAGGGGATCCTCGACTCTTCCTCCATCCCTTTTTGTCTCTCTCTGCCTGTCTCCTCCATTTACCCCCAGTTCAATTGAATCTCAAAAAGCATGCTCTGTTGTATTAGGATGATTAATTATAGTGAAATACATTTATATACAGTACATGCAGTATGTTCCCAGGTCCCTTCCTCACTCATTCACACTTTCACACACATCGGTTTACTCATCCCTGGGAGTGTAAGGCAGCCTGTGAAAATGGAGCCTGTGGCTCTGGAGAAAATAATGTAATCAGGGTCATCTCAGCATAGAGTCGAGTTTTTTGAGTTTTAGCTGAAAACTGCTTTTTTTCACTTTGACTGTAAAGTTTGAAAGATGTGGGTGTTTACCATGTGGCATTATGGGAAGTGTTGGATCCAGTGTTTTTGGAGATAGACCTCTATGATCTAAATCAGGATGTCTTGGCATATGCTGCATCAGTTTTGACCATTCTTTTTAAAATTGAAATAATTAAAAAACAAAACTTTATGTAAGTGCAACTCTGTATCCCTTTAAGATGACACTACTGTCTTTTTTTTTGTTGAACATTTTAAGTAGCACGGAGCAGTTATTCTCAATGCGGAGAGCCAGGGAAAGCTCAAACACAGGTGGTGTTATTGACAAGAGGAGACATTTACTGCCCTCCTTGCACTCCTCTTAAATAGTCTCCATTTTCCTGCTGGGTGCTGGGGGGAAGAACTGTCAGGTGGAGGAGGAGGGCCGCCTTGAGAAGATTCTGATCACCGCAGTTGGGGGGCTGTACCCAGTGGCACTCGCTTGATGGCACCATGCTGTCTTCATGAGGTCTTTATTTTTTATTCCTACCAGGGTAAAGGTGGAGAAAAAACACAGAAAGGCATAAAACAATGTTGTCAGCTCTGCCTGTCTCCAACATACTAGCTCCCTCATCCTCTACTCCAGTAAGGAGCAGACACTCTTAACCCACAGACAGCATGGCCAGCATTAGCTTCTGTATCAGCCCCAAACACACACACAACACATATTTTGCACTTGGCAACGTAAGCACATATTTGTTTGCTTACATTGTCAAACAGCCCTTCCTGCGGGCCAAAACCTGCTGTTAATTTCCATTATTGGTAATGCAAAATTTTTAGCCAATGTCCCGTTCTCCGTGTGTGTGTGTGCGCTGACACTTGCGAGCGTTTATGGCAGCAACATTTCTGTAGCCTGTGTGGTGGGAAACACAACCTGCAGCTTTGTGCCCTCCTGCTTCCACCTCACCTCCATTATTGTAATGAATATTTAGTGCAGCGTAGGCAAGACAGCCGACACTCGTCCGGCCAGAGCGTGATGTGCTGCTGCAGGGTAGTGGAGTGAGACGGGCATTAGACAAGTTTGTGGCACTGCTGTTATTTTTATGTGGAATTTAGTGGATTTTTGGTGCTCAACGGGTTTTGATTTGTTGTTCTTTTTTTTATTTTTATTGAAAGACAGCATTACAAGGTGTAAAAAGGTAGATTACATTTTGTGGTGCACAGTATCATTTTCAGGACCAGGACCAGCAAGAAAAAAAAATCAGGTGAGGAAAACTGAGAAATTGTTTTCTGTTCCCTCAACAACTTTCTGTGGAGCTTTTATGCATTTTGAGATAAACACTTTTGCACCGTCACACATTCTTGAGTACATTTTGTCTTGGTGGCTTTGCTGTAGATATGTCGATGGCAATGATGCATTGCATGACGCGGTGCCAGGTCTTCACTAAGTGATAGAAGATGAGATCCGCGTACAATAATAACACAGCGTATTCAATCACTTTTTCTTGTTGTTGCTGCAAAGGTGGCTGCCTCCAATGATTTCATCTTTTTGCCTCCAGGAAGTATGCCAACCATATCTCATCTTTGATGTTGGCTAAAAAAAAATTCTGCATCCAAGCAGTACACCAATGAAATAGGAAAAAATGACCTTTGATCCCACAACTGGGACTTATAATATAATATAATATAATTTAACATTGTGTGTTGTGGTGTCACAAAAATCAATGTGAAGTATAAAACTGAGAGATTGTATACTTTGTGAAGGTCAGAATCACGATTTGGGTTGAATTCTTCATTTTCCCTGTCTGAAGACACAAACACACACATAGACACTCCAGGCTGAGGCTTTTTAAAATATTGCACCAATACTGCTTATATATTTAATGTCTCAGCTAACACGCTGCTCTGCAGTGTTGAGGTTTTGTTGAAATTTTGATGGCCAAACTTGCTGGGCTGACCCGCAGTAGTGAAGGGCCATTAACACTGCCCCCCACATTGCTCAGGATTCTGTTGCTGAAGCATTTATTCAGTTCCAGCCCCTTGAAATGATTATCGGAATAATATCATGTTCAGTAATTTATCTTAATGCTTCTAAATTTTTTGAAATATTTGCCAATTAATGATAACATGCAATTTATCTTACACACTAGAGGTTTTGTGAAGTTGGACTCTGGGGGCCCCTATCAGACAAAATGGAGACAACCACAGAGTCAGGTAATTAGCTGTGGGCTACATCTTGACCCTTGTTTTCTTTATATTTTGGCAAATTGGCAGCATTAAAAGAATGCCGAGTTTCGCTAATATCAGTTCCTGTTTACAGTTCACCCATACATGCACAGTCAGCTGTCACTGGATTTGTGTGATAGTGAAGAAAACATGAAACTCTAATGATTCTCAGACAAGTTCTCGAGTTATGAGCATGTGTCGATTTGATGTTTTCTAATTGGATTTATGGCTGCTTATTCGCCATTGACGTTGGAGGTAGTGGCATCCTTCTAAATGTGTGTCACACTGAATCCAAATATGTGTGTGTCATGTGTTCAGATTGGACTGATTTATTACTCAGCGAATGCAGTTTTTTTCACAAATTGCAGCAATTTGGCACTAAGGGGTTTAAACAGCCATAATTCAAATAAACATGAACCAACTGCAGACTGTGTTGATAAGTGCAAACTTACCTGACTGTGGTTTTCAGAGCGCCGGTGTGCACCTGTTCCCTTTTTCACGTGACTATGTGTGGTTGCCTCACGTTTCTCCCTCACTCTCACCTCACACTTTGAAAACCTCTGTCCACTGCCCACACCAGTCTAAGGGGGGCTCTGACCAGATGGCCGTGGGTTTCTAGGTTCTCAAATTACAAGCAGAAAGCAAGTGTGGTCTCCGTTGTCCAGCTAGCGGATGAAATCGATCACCTCCGGAAGTTTTCCCCCAGGAGTCCAAGCACTGCCGACAAGGTTAGAAGAGAGTGGGAGATGTTTTTACATTCAGGCTGATGCCTTCACCCAGAGCAGCTTGTGAGGTGTGCACCAGCAGATAAAGTTAATATGATCTCCAAAAATCCATGTGAACAAAAGGAACAGGTTAAAGGTGAAACAAGAGATTGAGCGGCGTGACTTTTATTGCCTTAAAAGAGATTGGAATGCCTTCGTTCGGCTTCTGTTTTAAGATCAATTCATTGTAAAAATCTATCCTCTCTTCTTATATTTAATCCTCATAAATCATTTGGCTCTAAAGTTGCTTTTGGAAAGCTCTTTTCTGAGTGCAGTGATTTGGTCTAATGTGAAAATCAACATCAGCATACTAAAATATCTTAAAACAAACTTTGTTTTGCAACAGAATCATGTTCCTGTGTTTTGGCCTCTCTCTCTTCAGATGCTGTAGCAGCATATGTTCTGTATGATCCAGCAGTCAGTGCGGTTCACAGCACTGCATCACGCTGATTATCATGTATTTACATGTGAAGAAATCCATCTGGAATGTACCTGCGCTCTTTCACACTCGGCACCCACACACTGTTGATCTTTTTCTCACTTTCTCTCACAGTTATTTTTTTTTTTTTTTCCAATGCCGGCCTAGCTGTCATACAAAAGTGTATTATAGTACATGTACACTGTTTTCCCTCCATCTGGGCCTGTGAGCAGTCAGGAGATGAGACAGATCTGGTATCAAAGCCCACGTTTGTTTTGGAACCTGAAAGTGGGAGCAGTGACCAGATGCAAAAACAATGTAGTCATTGAAGGGAAGCTGCAATAGCGACCGCTATCGCTGATAGCGTAGACCCGACCCAGCAGAGTCAGTCTGCTTACTGTCTCGGTGACATCTGCTTTACGCTGTACAAACTGCAGATGGGACTCGGTGCATCTGGAACAGTGATTAAACTTCATATTACTACAATGGCAGGGTTGTGTTTACGTATCTGTGCTGTAAGATCAGCTCTGTGTACTTCTGGAATAAGTGATGATCCTCTGTGTTGTTCCTCATCGCTGACATGTTGTATACATAGTCAGTGTGGGTATGATTATACACTTGTGGCATTTTGATTATGTGTGAAGCAGAGTGTCCAATAGAGCCTGACTGATGCTGGATTTCTAAGGCTCATACGGATGCCACTT